TGTCAAACAACGTGTAAAAAATCAGTGTACAAATAGCGAAGTTCAATCGATAAGAACCTTGGAACATATACAATATGGTGTACAATTTAGTTTATACTTTGCCACATGCCATCACCCTATTTGACAGTTTAAATTTCTAATCGTTTTCCCATCCAATTGACCGACAGTTTAAATTTCAATCAATTTTCCCATCCAATTAACATTGGACAACAATGCACGTGTCAAACAACGTGTCGAAAATCAGTGTACAAATAGCAAAGTTCAATCGGAAAGAACCTTGCTACATGTACACGATGGTGGGCAACATGTACATTGCGGTGTACAATTTATTTTACACTTTGCCATGTGACATTACCCTATTTGACAATTTTAATTTCAAACAGTTTTCCCATCCAATTGACATTTGACAACATTGTAAGTATCAAACAGCGTGTCAAAAATTAGTGGACAAATAGCAAAGTTCAATCGGTAAGAACCTTGCTACATGTACACTATGGTGTAAACATTAGTTTACACTTTACGACGTGACATTGCCCTATTTGACAGCTTAAATTTCAAACAATTTTCCCATCCAATTGACACTTGACAACAATGCAAGTGTCAAACAACGTGTCAAAAATTCGTGTACAAATAGCAAAGTTCAAATGGTAAGAACTGTGCTACATGTACACTTTAGTTTATATTTTGTCACATGACATTACCCTGTTGGGCAGTTTAAATTTCCAACAGTTTTCCCATCTAATTGACAATTGACAACAATCCAAGTGTCAAACAACGTGTCAATAATCAGCGTGAAAATAGCAAAGTTCAATCGATAAGAATCTTGTTACATGTACGCGATGGTGTACACACTTTGGTTTACACTTTCCCACATGACATTACCCTGTTGGACAGTTTAAATTTAAAACAGTTTTACGATCCAACTGACACTTGACAACAATGCAAGTGTCAAACAACGTGCCAAAAATTAGTGTACAAATAGAAAAGTTCGATTGATAAGAAACTTGCAAAATGTACACGAAGGTGTACACACTTTAGTTTACACTTTGTCACATGACATTACCCTGATCGACAATTTAAATTTCAAATAGTTTTCGGATCCAATTGACACTTGACAAGAATGCAAGTGTCAAACAACGTGTAAAAAATCAGTGTACAAATAGCAAATTTAATCGGTAAGAACCTTGCCACATTAACAATATGGTGTACACTTTAGTTTACATTTTGCCACACGCCATTACACTGTTTGACAGTTTAAATTTCTAATCGTTTTCGCATCCAATTGACACTTGACAACTATGGAAGTGTCAAACAACGTATCAAAAGTCAGAGTACAAATAGTAAAGTTCGATCGGTAAGAAACTTGCAATGTGTACACTATGGTGTACAGTTTAGTTTACACTTTACCACGTGACCTTACCCTATTGGACACTTTAAATTTCAAACAGTTTTTTCATCCAATTGATACTTGAAAACAATGCAAATGTCATACAACGTTTCAAAAATCAGTGTACAAATAGTAAAGTTCAATCAATAAGAACCTTGCTACATGTACAATATAGTGTACACTTTAGTTTACCCTTTGTAACGTGACATTACCCCCCTTGGATAGTTTAAATTTCAAACAGTTTTCCCCTCCAATTGACACTTGCCAACAATGCATGTGTCAAACAACGTGTCAAAAATAAGTGTACAAATAGCAAAGTTAAATCGACAAGAAATTTGTTACATGTACACTATGGCATACACTTTAGTTTACACTTTTCCACGTGACATTACCTTGTTGGAAAGTTTAACTTTCAAACTATGTTTCAATACAATTGACACTTGACAACAATGTAAGTGTCAAACAACGTGTAAAAAATTAGTGTACAAATAGCAAAGTTCAATTGGCAAGAACTTTGGAGCATTTACAATATGGTGTACACTTTATTTTACACTTTGCCACGTGTCATTACCCTATTTGATAGTTTAAATTTCTAACCGTTTTCCCATCCAATTGACACTTGACGACAATGCAAGTGTCAAACAATGTGTTAAAAATCAATGTACAAATAGCAAAGTTTAAACGGTAAGAACCTTGTAACATGTACATTGCGGTGTAGAATTCATTTTACACTTTACCATGTTACATTACCCTGTTGGACAGTTTTAATTTCAAATAGTCTTCCCACCAATTGACACTTGACAACAATGCAAGTGTTAAACAGCACGTCAAAAATCAATATACAAATAGCAAAGTTCAATCGGTAAGAACCTTGCTACATGTACACTATGGTGTACACTTTAGTTTTCACTTTACGATGTGACATTGCCCTGTTTGAAAGTTTAAATTTCAAACAGTTTTCCCATCCAAGTGACACTTGACAACAATACACTTGTCAAACAACGTGTCAAAAATTCGTGTACATATAGCAAAGTTCAAACGGTAAGAACCGTGCTACATGTACACTTTGGTGTACACTTTAGTTTACACTTTGTCACATGACATTACCCTATT